ATTTGACCAGTTATATAGCTGCTTGAACTACGCACAAAAGAACGTAATTATGTAAATACAGGTCACAGTTCGACTTGTGTAGCAAACGTTACAATGTGTCAAGTGATTTGAAGGCGTCTTTGTCCCCCCCTCCCAATACAGAGAAGCGCGTTGTATTTTGAATCGTCATTAAAATATAAATTTATTACGAATAAAAACATAAGTTTTTACATACAATGTACGATCATCGTTACTCCAGCGGTCGGTTGGCAAGCGGACGATGTTTCTGAAGCCAGCCATAGCAGGAGCGAGCGAGCAACAAAAGCGAGCGAGTGAGCGAGCGAACAAAAGAGTGAGCGAGCGGAAAAAAAGTGATAAAAGCGGGAGGTTGGGCGGAATGAGTACTGTAATTTATCCCAAGCAAATATTAACATGAAATATCATCAATATCTCAGCTTTGTGAAAACATATACATTGCCATAGCTACATGCTTAATAACAAGCTTGAAAAGTCCTAATCACAATTAAAGTATTACTCATTTTTCCCTCACAATAATCTAAATCCATTCAACCAGTGGCACAGTCATTCTGTGACACAAGTTTACTTTAATACACCTACACACAATGTTACAAAATGGATGTATTTACTTACAATGAGAAAGCAAGCTCCAAGAAGAGTTGCTTTGGTTTTCACATCCAGATCCATAGGAACTACAGAAAAAAACAAAGTGAATACTCTGTAAATGATACAACAACTTTAAAACACAAATGCATTATGGTATCAATGCTACATGTGTCTTAGCTTATGTACAAGATTGACCACTCCCCAACAGGACTGACCGCTCCCCGACAGGACTGACCCCTCCCCCGAAAAGAGTGGTCCCTCCACCGACCAGACTGACAACCCACACACCCCCCCCCCGACAAGACTGACCCCTCCCCCGATAAGATTTTTGAATTCAGATATCAAGTCAGCTATACATTGCTTATATTTAAGTATGTACGTACATTCTCAATAATGTTGGCATATAGCTAATAAAATTGGATTATCCATCACTTACAAAGTCACACTTTATCAGGGATCTGCCCACACTGGTCAGAATTTGCGACCATCACAAAAAGTAAGCGACCGGCACTATTGTTCTCAAAACTTGCATGTCACTGCGTGACAGGAAGCCAGCCAAGTGATATCCCATCCCTCGCGCAGGCTAGTTGTGTAACAAACAGGCAAAGGAAAACTATAATCAACAAAGCTAGTGATTAACACGCCGAATACTTTGAGTGACGGTCGCGAATCGACAAGCTGTACATGAAATAAGAACAAGTGTTACCGACAACGTACTCGTGAATTGGGCGAAGCCTGGTGATTAACACGACTGCTACTTTGAGTGACGGTCGCGTCGTAAATGAAATAAAAACAGTGTTGCCGATTTAATTGAAACATTTAGCACCTCTTATTAGTTGTGAATTACCTGGTAAATAAAATTGTGTATAACAAGTCATGAAAATGACACAGTCCCCGTTAAGTTCTCTTTGTGCTCGTCATATTAAAGCGGAGGGGTTGTTGCGAGCGTGTCCTTGAAACTTGAGTTCCAAGTGGCGTATACAACAGATTGTTTATTTACATCAAAACACTTGTTTCGTGTCATAGTAATATGGCCAAAATAAAAACAGCCGTTATTCAGCCATCTTTGATCTGATTATGAAACACACTGATATGTATGATGTATGTGCCAAATACGAATGAAAATGGTACATAAATTGTGGAAATATAGTAGTAAGGCCAAAAAGTCAGATGGCTGTCAATCGGCCATCCTTGACCAGATTTTGAAACAAATTGTCATGGACATGTATCCTAACATGTATAATCTATGTACTAAATTTGAATCAAAACTGACGAAGCATGTCCAAAATACAACATTTTCAAAAAACAAGATGGCTGCCAGTCGGCCATTTTGAATCGAATCACTAAACCACTGCATGTGCATATGTCCCACATAAAGTACAAGGCACATGCAAAGAATGAACGGAATCGGTCCAAGGGATTCTGAGATATGACTCCGGACGAACACACGGACGCACGGACGGAGACCGAATTATAAGTCCCCGTTTTCGGACTTCGTCCGAATGGGGACTAAAAAGAGAACGAAATGCATGTAACACACCATTTCCCGATTGCCTAGCAAGAGAGAAGTAATGTCCGATTGCCAAACTTTACTTAGTAAACTGTTCCTGAGTCATCACCTCTACAAAGCATAAGAGTACCGTTGCTTCCGATAAAGAGAATGCTGTGCCGACACCAAAGAAATCCAGAGTGGAAAGTAATGACAAACGTAGAGCCCACGTAGAGCCCAAGCTTCGAACTTTCGCAACGAGTGGATCACTGGTCGCGAATCATGGTTGTATTTTCGCCAAGGCGATGGAATGTATTGCAAGTTATGTCAGAAGTTTAATATGTTGCCGTATGATCGTGACATATGGAATAAAACGCCATGTAAACGACTGAGATTAGGCAGCATCAAAGACCATGAGCAGACAGCAGCACACCACGAAGCTACGAGACGGGACTTCTATTTCCAGTCAAATTATTGCCGAGGTTATACAGCCAGAAGTAAACAATGACGCCATAACATCCGCCTTTAAAGTGCTGTATTTTTTAGCAAAGCGAAGAATACCACATACGGCTAACTTTGAACCGATGTTGGATCTATTAACGCAGCTTGGTATGTCTGTGAAAGACGATCAGTAAAAATGCAACATACTGTAGTGACAAGTAGATTCAAGAAATGACCGGCATTCTTTCGTCTGTACTTGAGAGTAAAACCATCGACGTTCTCAGGAAGTCAGATCACGCTCGACAAAACAACTGATTTCAGTGTCAACAAACAATTAACTTTAAATTGCAGATATATCACACCAGATGGCAATTTAACAGTCAAGTTCTTGAAAATGATTGAACCCCTGAAGCCCGATGACGACAACAATCAGAGAGTAACACTCAGAGCTGAAACAATAACACGACAATTTACAGCGTATTTGGAAGAGAAGGGACTAGATTATAACAGGCTTGTTGGTATTGGGACAGACGGTGCAGCCGTGATGACAGGAAAGCGATCCGGTGTGGTAAAACGGCTACAAAGTTAGCAACGAAAGTGATTGGCATTCATTGTTGTGCCCACAGGCTACAATTGGCATCGTCACAGGCAGCGAACGCAGTCCCCTACGTCAAGCAGTTTACTTCAATTTTGGGACGGTTTTATGACATTTTCAACAACAGTCCAGTTCGTATGGCAGGGCTTCACGCAATTCAAACTGCGTTGCATGAAAAAGAGTTAAAGCCAGTGGAGTCATCATTGACAAGGTGGCTGAGTATTGAGATGAGCGTGACCAGACTAAAATACATTTATTAGCGTGTTATTAAGCTTGGACAGAGCCTTCCAAGCTAGCGAGTTTGAACTCAGTACAATGAAGCCATTGATCGCATCAACTGTGTCAACGATATTGGCCATGTAATCCAGTGATGGTGAAAATTTGGAACAGCTACCAGTATTTATTAACAAGCTTCGAGATGCTGACATCACTATAAATAAACGCGCTGACTACGATGATTTTTTTCAACACCACATCAGAAGCAAGTATATATCAGTTTTAGTCAACAACATCGAGCAGCGCATTTCTGAAGAAGACACTGGAATTCTCGCCCACTTCATTATTTTTGACCCACACATTGCTGATCGGCCAACCTACGGAAATGATGAAGTACGAGCGCATTTTTTTCTCATTGAAAACCAGTCAGACAAAACAGCAGATGCCGTCAACGAGTGGACCAGCTTCAAAAATCACGCAGAAGATGCAATTTTGAAACAACCAGTTAGATTCAGGAGTTATTGTCCAATCCCAGTGTACTAGGCGAGCCTTGCAAGCTGCATTTCCAGTCATCGCCAAACTTGCCAATATTTACGCGTCCTTCCCTGTCACACAGCAGATTCGGAAAGAACATTTTCACAGCTTGAATTGATCAAGACGATACCATGTAATTGTCTCAGTCAAAGAAGTCTGGATAGCCTAGTTCGCATCACCATCAACGGGCCAACCACGGAAAACTACAACTATTCAGCTGCTGTTACCACTGTGGGCTGAGATGAAAAAAGCCGTATTTTTCATAAGTAATTTATACACAAGTCGTATCACGGACTTTACCTAGTGAACCACTTAAATTCAGCACTCATGTACATATTTTGTCAGGAATTGTCAACAATTTAATGAAATTTATTTTACCGCAAATGTGTTTGTTTTTTTTCTGGTGGAATATTACTAAAAGTAAGATACAAAGAAAAATTATTAATTTATTTCCTCTGTTATTTATTGAATCTGAGCACAACCAGTCAACTCACTCAATCTGAGCACAACCAGTCAACTCACTCAATCTGAGCACAACCAGTCAACTCACTCAATCTGAGCACAACCAGTCAACTCACTCAATCTGAGCACAACCAGTCAACTCACTCAATCTGAGCACAACCAGTCAACTCACTCAATCTGAGCACAACCAGTCAACTCACTCAATCTGAGCACAACCAGTCAACTCACTCAATCTGAGCACAACCAGTCAACTCACTCAATCTGAGCACAACCAGTCAACTCACTCAATCTGAGCACAACCAGTCAACTCACTCAATCTGAGCACAACCAGTCAACTCACTCAATCTGAGCACAACCAGTCAACTCACTCAATCTGAGCACAACCAGTCAACTCACTCAATCTGAGCACAACCAGACAACTCACTCAATCTGAGCACAACCAGTCAACTCACTCAATCTGAGCACAACCAGTCAACTCACTCAATCTGAGCACAACCAGTCAACTCACTCAATCTGAGCACAACCAGTCAACTCACTCAATCTGAGCACAACCAGTCAACTCACTCAATCTGAGCACAACCAGTCAACTCACTCAATCTGAGCACAACCAGTCAACTCACTCAATCTGAGCACAACCAGTCAACTCACTCAATCTGAGCACAACCAGTCAACTCACTCAATCTGAGCACAACCAGTCAACTCACTCAATCTGAGCACAACCAGTCAACTCACTCAATCTGAGCACAACCAGTCAACTCACTCAATCTGAACACAACCAGTCAACTCACTCAATCTGAGCACAACCAGTCAACTCACTCAATCTGAGCACAACCAGTCAACTCACTCAATCTGAGCACAACCAGTCAACTCACTCAATCTGAGCACAACCAGTCAACTCACTCAATCTGAGCACAACCAGTCAACTCACTCACTGTATCAAAGTAAAATAAATAAGCAATAAGTTGAAATATTTTTTTCCTCTCCTGCATTTAACTGACCATAACCAGCCAACAGAACTGTATTTTAAAAATCTCATAGTTTTTGCCATGTAATGAAAAATAAATAACACAATGATATGACATTTCTTCTGTAGCTTGTATCTTCTGTACAAAAGCAGTACTCAACACCCAAAACAATATGGGTATTTCCAGGGTCTGTCAACCTTATGAATATTAATTAGCTCATGAATATTAATGAACGACCAGCACTCCCAAAGAGCTGGGCAGATCCCTGCTTTATCAATAGTAAACACTTTTTTACATACTTACATGTAATGCTGAAGTTGTTGGCATTAGTAAACATCTCTCTAGCAATACCAGACCATTGTTTACTGACTTTGCCAAGCTCTGTGGTCATATCCTTAGAGAAGAGCTAAGAAGAGAAATCTTAATTAAAACATGGGACAGTACAGATACAACATGGTCACTTACAGTGAATTCCTGATATCAAATACAGCATGGGATGGGACAGTACAGATACAACATGGTCACTCACAGTGAATGCATGGGATGGGACAGTACAGATACAACATGGTCACTTACAGTGAATTCTTGATATCAAATAAGCATGGGATGGGATGGGATGGGACAGTACAGATACAACATGGTCACTAACAGTGAATTCTTGATATCGAATACAGCATGGGATGGGACAGTACAGATACAACATGGTCACTTACAGTGAATTCTTGGTATCGAATAAGCATGGGAAGGGACAGTACAGACACAACATGGTCACTAACAGTGAATTCTTGATATCAAATAAGCATGGGAGGGGACAGTACAGACACAACATGGTCACTTACAGTGAATTCTTGATATCAAATAAGCATGGGAAGGGACAGTACAGACACAACATGGTCACTAACAGTGAATTCTTGATATCAAATAAGCATGGGATGGGACAGTACAGATACAACATGGTCACTAACAGTGAATTCTTGATATCAAATAAGCATGGGATGGGACAGTACAGATACAACATGGTCACTAACAGTGAATTTTTGATATCAAATACAGCATGGGATGGGACAGTACAGATACAACATGGTCACTAACAGTGAATTCTTGATCCCAAGTACAGCATGGACCAGTACAGATACAACATTGTCACTAACAGTAAATTCTTGATATCAAATAAGCATGGGATGGGACAGTACAGATACAACATGGTCA